CAGCGTCTCAGGCAGCTGCGTCGACCTCGCACTCAGCGCAGTTCTAGCAGTACACCGGGACTTCATCACAAGCAGCCGGCACGTCGAGTCAGGGTCCACCACTGGACCATGCTGGGACCTCGTCGGACCGCTTGCTGCCTTCCACCTTGCTCTTCGACATCACTGACATCAACTTCGCTTCAGGCTCGACAGAGGACGTCATCAGCCCCTCACAGCTGGGAGGCGCACCGCCGGTGCAGACGCAGGACCAGGCGCAGGCCACTCCTCCGCGGGACACTCGTGCTACCCGTGCTGTGCCACCGGATCGTTTCACCTACTCCCAGGACCACGTACTAGCACAGGCCTGGAGGACCAAGCGTGGTCGCGGCACGGGGCAGGGCTAGTAGAGCAGTCTTCTCTTTGTTTATTTGCTTCAGTTTCTAGTACTGTATGCTTGTGTAATGACTACGTTGTTGTTATATGTGCACGATACCTTTCGGCGCATGCACGATACCTTTCGGTGCATGCACGACTACTTTCTGCCGCACCGATGCAGCCTCCTTTATTCGCGTGCGATACGAGTATTTGCCCGCCATTTGGCGCATACGACCAATGTAACTTTCGGCACCGATCAGGCATGTAACTTTCGGCGCCAATCAGGCGTACCCACCATACCCCACCACGTTCACATGTCAGGGGTATCACTCGATTTTTTTGCGCCTATATAAGTCGCCTTAACGAGTGAGGCCTCACAATCTTTCAGAACTCAGTCACATTCAGTACTCTCTTCCCCACTTGCTTCATTACAAATCCGACCGGCTTTCGTCAATGGCTAGACGCCGGGGTGTTGAGGATCCAAACTGGCGTAGCGATCCTTGTGTATACCTACTACCACCTTGGTGCCAGCGTCCTCTCTGCCTATGTGGTGATCGATGCCAACTAATGGCTTCGAGGAATCCTGATATTCGAGGAAGGAGCTTTTTTAGGTGCCCTAACTATGACCGTGAGGTATTTTATTATTTGCATATGCTTATTCATTCCGTATGGGCAATCGCTTTATTCTTCGTAACACTACTCTATTCGGCAGACCCGCACTACGGCTTGCGCATACATCGAGTGGGTCGATACAGAAAATCCCGTTCTCGACCTAACCACTTGTTTACAAGAAGGTCGCTGGTATTTCGCATCCGAAAGTACTGAGCAATACTTACAGAGAAAAGCGGCTTATGAATGACAATGTCGTGAACAACAGAGCGACTGGCGGGTGCTAACTACGGCACTCCCTCCATGGAAAGCCCGTCCAAGATGCAGGTGTGGTGATCGTTGTCAGGTTCTTCGTTCCATAAATCCTACAACATTGGGTCGAAGGTTTTTTGTTTGTCCAAATATTCTTGACGACAATTTCATGGTAAGAATATTTTGATTACATGAATCCTTATTTTCTCACAACATTTACTAACTTTGCTTGCTTTACATCTATTCTTTCCTCCCAGGAACCACTAAGGAGATGTCAATACAGAGAATGGATAGACACCAGAAGGGTTCTAACTCCACCTAGCCGTGTTGTGCAGCTTGAACTACCAGAGCAATACAGGGTTATTAAAGCGCAGTTTGAGAGAGGAGAGGGATCCTCACGTAGGGGTTAGCTATTATCGGACAACTTGGCATATTGAAATTTCTACTGTCATGCTTCCTTGTCCCATTACTACATCGTCGTTGTGTTCAACTATTGCACTACCTCCCTCCTAGTTCGAATCTAATATCATCTATGTAACCGCAATGCAAATAGTTGTATCATGTTCAAATTGTACTACTATTTCTTCATGTTACATAATTCTCCTTGTTTAAGTCCATATAATGTTTCTACGACCCAGACTGTGATAGGCCTATATAAATTATCCGAGTACTAATACGTCGAATAAGGTACAAAATAATACCTCACTTAACATATGAAATTGCGCAACAACCAACTTCAATACATTTTTATAACAATATTAACAAGTTTTACCAATAAATACTTCTTTATTTATTATTAACATAACATAGAAAAATCTTTTGGCTGTACTTTTTATATCTGGGTCCCTTGCCGCCCTCTATTGGGGCGGCAAGGGACCCAGATGAAAAAAGTACGGCCGCAAGCTCTTTATGGGCGGCCAACATTGCAATTAGCCCATGGGCGGCAAGGGTCTAATCGCAATTTTGGCCGACGGCGGTAGACGGCACGGTCGACCCACCGTCTGCCACGTCAGCCTGCCGCCCACCATTGGGGCGGCAGGGGCTATTTCTGTAATTTTTTTTGGTCGATAGATTATTTCTGTAAAAATTTAAAAAAATCTAAAAACGAAAAAAATTTCGTCATTTTTCACAATTTCTTTCCTGCTTACGAGCAGATCTTTTGAATCCAAGATCCTGTGTTTCAGGATTTCTATCTATGCTCTTCGCAGTGAATTTACCACCCCACTAACCCTATTTGTTTACCAATTACTCCTGCGTCTACTTTAAAATTACAAAAATAGTTCTTCCATATATTGTTTCTGTCTTATTTCATCTTAAAATATAATTTAGTGACGGATTGTTCTTTAACCTCACAATTAATTTGTTTTAAATAATACTTTTTTTTCCTCGAAAAAGTACATAAGAAAAAAAAAAGGAGGGGAGTCAAGAAACTCTCCTACAAGAGGGTTATAAACACAACAATCAACCAGAAACTAGAAAAGGAAATTACGTCCAGGACCAAGCAAACTTTATGGTAAAAAACTAATAAAACCCTTATCCCGCCAAACACGGCCTCATCCCTAATATCCTGCACAAGAGCAATATCAGGCGAGGTCCCCTCAAAGGCATGACTATTTCTATATTTTTAGATAATATAGCATGCATGTAATTCATCCATAGTAAAGTATGGATATTTAGCTAGTACTTATAAGATGTTGTAACTTGCTAATCTGACCGTACTTAAGTTGGTGATAAGGTAATGATCTGTGAGCTCAAAAGTGATAGGCCAGCAACTGTGATGCACACAAAAGTGCTCGCTAATTATGGGAGCAATCTAGCAAGTGTAAACCAGGGCAGTACCTGGTTTTGCTAACTCGCATGCTGTGCCGGCGCGCACGCCCGGCCCACAAGACCCACGCGCGCGCGTGAAATTTTTTTTTTCTATAACCATTCTCTAACGCCGGTTTTTTCCTTTTTTTTTTCTTCCGCGTTTTTTCTTTTGGTGTTTCTTTTGCTTTTTTTGCGCTTTTTTTAATCTTTTAGCACACGTGTTTTTTTAAATGTTTTGAGTTGAAAGTTTTTAAATATTGACTTGAAAATTTTCAGTTTGGCCTCGAAATTTTCAAATCTCAAGTGAAAATTTTCGAATCTGAGTTGAAAGTTTTTAAAATTTTCAAATCTGGACTTGAAAGTTTTCAAATCTCGAGTTAAAAATTTTCAAATCTCAAGTTGAAAGTTTTCAAAATTTTCAAATCCGGACTTGAAAGTTTTCAAATCTCGAGTTGAAAATTTTCAAATCTCAAGTTAAAAGTTTTCAAAATTTTCAAATCCGGACTTGAAAGTTTTCAAATTTCGAATTGAAAGTTTTCGAATCTGAGTTGAAAGTTTTCAAAATTTGACTTTAAAATTTAAAACTTAAATTAAAAGTTTTAGAATCTAACTTAAATTTTTTTCAATTTTTTAGTAAAAATATCTCTCAGAAAATCTTCAGAATCTTTCCTAATTACTACTAGTATCATTAGTGTTAAGTGTTAACTAATAGATTAATAGATAATAGATGTAGTTAAACCTTAAGGGGGAGGTGCTCGCTAGCAGCGCGCATGCGCTAGCTAGGAGCCCCCGGCAGTACCTAGGAATTTGAGGCTCCAGTGTGAAATACAATTTGTGGGAATAAATTAGTGGTGGAGCCCTACATAAGTCGAAAGAAGATTTTTCAAATGAATGATAGAAAAATATTATTTCATGATGTAGTTATTCTTTCTTTTACTAAACGAAAAATGAGAAGCCTTTAATGCCCAGAATGCACATTCTACCCAAATCAACGAATGAATAGAATAAAAAAATTAAAGAAAAGGAACGAGATGCCTTTAAATATATCAAAACACATTTGCATAGATTAAAATATAAAAAATTTGGGACCTAGCACTTGTGTAAACAAGTACTACCTCCATCCCAAAATAGAGTTTTAGGCTTGGACATGGATATTAAGGCCCTGTTTAGATCCTGCAAAATGGCAAAATAGAGTTTTAGGCTTGGACATGGATATTAAGGCCCTGTTTAGATCCTGCAAAATGGCAAAAGTTTTGCCATTTTGTAGCACTTTTTGTCATTTTGGATCAAACATTAGTAGCAAAAAGTTGACAATTTGGCATTTGGCATTTGCTAGTCCATAGTAGCAAATTGTGCCAAAAAGTGCTTTGGGACCACTCCCTCTCTCTTTCTCTCTCTCACTTTAGTGCTAGAATGGCAAAACTTTAACATGCATCTAAATGCCAAAACTTTTGTCACCAAAACTTTTGCCATTCCAAATGGATCTAAACATGCCCTAAGAAAATATGTGTTGTATTAAATGGCAAAAAGTTGTGATTGTTTTACAAGAGAAAGTTGGTGGACAATTTAAATGGTGAAATGATGTGATTGGTTGAAAATGAAATGTGGGTGAAGTTATTATATTTTGAACAAAATTTGAATGCCATAGGTTGTTATATTTTGGATAGAGGGAGTATGTCATATGCCTTTGAGGGTAGAGCAAGCAAGATTCATTGATATGAAAAAACACAACAATGCCAGGTGAAACTTCACTTTGGGGAAAAAAAGAGAAAGTAAGTAAGAAAGAAACTCTTAATCTACAGGATCATACAAGTGAACGTAGTACCATTTTCATTTTGGATAGAAGTCTTACTTTGAGAATCTCAGAACTACACAATTTTCCAACCTGTGAAAGGCTATTCAGCCATCACAATTCACAATGTAGCTATAAATGGACCTGATATTAGAAAACATTTTTCGTTTGAAGGCAACACATATGCTTGCAATTTAGTATATATACATTGATCATACATCAAATGGAAGTTAAGAAGTATATCAGCGTCTGCCTGCTATATCAGCGGCTTACAAAAATATGAGCACCGAACAACTCATTGCACATCAAAAAAATGAGGGAAAAAAAATCATATCAGCGGTTGCCTGCTATATCCATTTTTTTTTAGGTAATGAATTCAAACTCGGTCAGCATGGTTATACATGGCCAAAAGCCTGCTATATTCATTTATTAACAGCTTCTAGCTAGCTGACTAAAGAAAGTCGCAGCATCTATCACTTATACTAGTCAGTACAGCATTTTGTAATGGAGGTCTATCTTCGAGCAGTAATGTACTGTAACTGGTCACATTTGTTTCAGTGAATGCCACGCCTTAGGTTACCCGTATAAGTAGAACAACCATGATGAACATACAGGTCATTACAAAAAGCAGAAACCACTGGAAACAAGTTGTTTTGGAGGTTAACGAAGACACCTCCACAGCTTGTGCATTTGCACGGTCAGTGCCTGCCAAGCTATATGCCACAGCCCTTTCAGTTGAATCAAGTATCTGCAACAACAGTAAGTGGACAATTTTTATATGCTTTCAGCAAGCAAAAGGAGTTCATTCACACTCAAGGGGTTATCGAAGTTTCAATCCTTTAATGATCATATTTTTTTGATTTTTTTTGTGTAAGATCCTTTTACACCAGAACATGACAATTTGTTTAATCAAACCATGTTATCAGCTGTCATTTATTGAACTTAACCTATATACAAGTCCAGAAGTCCTACATGTGATCCAAATATTGTCAACATAAAATGGAATTTTTTTTATTCAATTGGTTGCCCCTTATTACATACTAAATATTAGAGTGGACGCTGAAGAGAATATGCATGAATGATAGAAATAGTTGGAGGGGGTGGTACATGATTGGGTCTCTGACATATAGGTGCACATGTTAAAGAGTATTTATTTCACTTATCGAGCAGTAAATTGGGAAAGTGATACAAGAATGTACGTAATTCAGTTCCCAATGTTTTCCCCAAAGATGCGTGAAGCTAAGGTAGTTTCACATTTTCTTGATTAAAAACACCTAAACTGTTGCTCTAAATTGATGCAGCATTATCACTTATCAGCTGGTGGGAATTAATTAAAGTCTACAAGGTCTTTGGGAACAACATCAAAATTCAGTTACATAACACTAATATTTCAAAATTAGAACAGCGTTCACACAAGGAAGTTCATATTGTTTTTATAGCTTGCTTAATACAAATAAGTTGGTGTATCATGGAATTGTCATTCAGGAATAGTTATAGTAGTGGTAAAAAGAGTTGAATGTTTGCCAAGTTATAACCAGCAGAAGAGCTAACTCACATAAGAGTATCAAGTACCAACAAAAAAATAAGTCTACCTTCTCTGTTGCTTGCACAGACTGGTTCATCATAAGACTGCTATCCTTCAGCTGGCGTGCTAATTCAACAATCTCATCAGTCAAATCTTCTTGCAGATTCCTGCAAAGACAATGAAACCAATAAAAGTACAATCAGTATAAAAGAACAATCAGTATATTCATTGATTTAAGTAAATCCCTCACGGCAGGTGCTTAGCAAGAAATAAAGAGAAAAGATAACCTTAGTTTGTGCGACCAGCTAAAAGGACTGAAAATGGTTACTGGTAATTCGTAAGGAGAAATTAGTAATTCTGAACATACCTATATTTCTCTATGTTTGCCTGGGCTGCTTCATCTAATCTAAGAGGTTCTGCAACATTTCTTTCTTTTGCATTGGTAGGTTGTTCAATCTCTTGCAGAGCTCTGCTTAACCATAATAATAAGATTAATTACCAAAAAATGAATGAGCTCCATGACCAATTTAGTGCAAGGAAAGGTACAGAATTAACTAACGTCAATCGCCTCCTCAATCCAGGGGATAAGGCTATTGGACTTCTAATTTGTTCCCCTTCAAGGTAACTTTCTTCTTTTCTGATGGCTTCAACAGCATTTTCGTAACCAGGCTAAACCAGCATAAACATAGTTAGAGAAAGTGCCTGCATACACGCTATATGATTATAATAGCATTTTGCATTCAGGTAACTGAGGACCTAGGACTACATTTATACAGGGTAAATAAACAGAAAATAATTTAACCACTTATGTTGGAACTGGAATCAAAACAGGAGAGATTGAACAGAAAACATAAAGTTGACAATGTTTTGCATGTGAGCAGTTGTGTTTGATTAGGATAATTTGTAAAAAAAAAAAAAATCTAGGCCATTGTAAACATAACTAAGAGAACTTATAGTCTAGTCTATTTATACATAGTACATCAAATGGTCAGAAGTAGAAAAGATACAGGTTGGTACAATATATAGTAATGAAGACACTGTTTAAATTGAACCCAAAAGAAAGAACAGAGTAAAATCTACTAGTTTCTCAAAAAGAGGAATTGAACAACAAAATACATACCACTAGAGAAGCAAGCCTTGCGGCAAGTTCCTCAATCCTCTCTGAATACTCATTTAGCCTTCCTTTTGCAATACTGAATCAAGAGGAAGTTGTCCATGAATGAAGATGTAACAGTTATACAAATACAAGAAGATAGTAGAGGTAAACATATGGAGGAATGAGTCTTCCAGCAAATTTCATAGGAAATTAATCTGTAAAAAACATATTATGAATTGAAAGGAAGAAACAAAAATATGAAACTCTAGATATTGGTACAAGAAGCTTGCCTTGCAGAAAGAGTATGAAAAATCCAGTAAACCAAAAAGTAATATCTAATTTATAAACTAAGTATTATTTAAAGGCTGCACCGGAAAAATGATTCTCCATATATATGTATTATATTTTAATTAGGTATTCATGATTAAAACTGGTCCATATCACTATTCCTGCAATTAGTCTTACATGAATTATCTGTATGAGGAACCATTGGCTACATTATATCGCTTCATTCAACAGTTCTAGAAAGATGAATAAATGATAATTTTGAAATAACTTGTATATCATTGTAAGAAGCCAAAATTGGTCATTTTTTTTAAAAAAAATTAGGAAGTTCCTTAGTACCTTCAACTATGTCCAGTCTAGTAATAAGAAATCATGACCTCCGAATGATAAAAGAAATAAATTATGTCCATTTTCACTAGAAAGTCTCCAGCTAAATGTGATGTTTTGACTTTTCAATCAGCCCAATTAGTAAACAACAACTGTAGTCATTTTTTTAGCAATAATAACATGAGTTTACCACTATCTTTCCACGTTACCCTTTTTCAAGAATATTTAATTATGACGCTCCAAACATGTATTGCTGGTAGACAACTAGCTATCCACTGCTTCTTTTTTGTTCCTGTGTGATTCAGTCCTCAGACGCAGCAATCCAAAGTACTGACGACTAAATCTGACTAAATGGTCTGTCTAGTGCCAGCAATACTAACATTGGCACCAACTAACACAAGCCTACTAGTAGATTGTAGGCTACGCCATTCTATTTTATTATTCCAAAATGTTACCAGTTGAACATTATGATAAAAGCAAATTAGCAGGTACCTTGATATCCCTTCTGACGTATTTTCCGCTGCCAGCTTCTCCAACAGTTCCCTCGATGTGGTGACATACTGCGATTGAAGGTTGCACATGCTAAGAGGAAAACGGAATTGAACTTTATAATCTAAAACGTGAAATGCAGTTGTCCCACAGAGAGCACCAAATCATGTCTCGAATGTTACACATGAACTAAATAGGATCCAACAAAAGCTGGCAGATCACCGATTCAATTAGCAAATGGTAAAACAGCAAAAGATTAGTTTATATTCTTTTTCCTCTAAAACTGGTTGCACGTTATTCAGAATACACCATTCTCATCAAACTGAAATCTGAGTGCAGACCAAAATTAGGGGGCGAAATCCACTAGGACAATAAAACTGCTAGGATTCCGAGATACAGCTATACTTACATGAATGAGTTTAGCCTGGTTCTGCTGCCGCGGAGCCGAGTCAAGCAACCGCAGCAGATTCACTTCAGTCTTACTGATGCCCATTGTGGGATATCTGATCAAACACGGTACCAACAATAGAAGCATAACCACAATTGCATTAACTTCATTTCCAGAAATATGAACGCGAAATCGCAATTCATGAATCTCCTGATTCCAGATAAACAGAAGAAACTATGAACGGCCTTTCTCCGAATGGAGAGGGGGAAAATTGTACTACAAACTACCTTAGCGCACGCGTCCAATCCGATGGACAATTCGTATGAAAATGAAACAAGATCCAATCGACGGGTCGAGATACAAGAATCCGAGGCGGGGACAATTGAACGGAGAATCGTATTGCAAGGGGAAAAGAAAAAGATTGCAAGATTCAAGTGGTAGAAAGGTTCAAGGGGACACCTCCTCCGCTTGTTGGCGTCGGGCACGGACTACCAAAGGAAGCGGTTCTGGCCGGTCGCGGATGTCGCTCACGGGTGGCCGTTGCCGGCTGGCCGACCGGACGGACGGACGGACGGCGGCGGCGGCGGCGGCGGCGGAGAAGACGCGTACGCCTCGTCGGCGTCGCCGCCACGAAGGGAGCACAGCGGTTTGGGTGCTGGGCCTGATGGGCCGAGAAGGCAACTAAGAACCGTCCGATGAGATTGGACGGTGGATAGGGCAGAAACTGTAGAAATTGCCATGTAGGGACTATTCGTGTGATTGTTAGCCAAAGTATGTGAGAAAAATTCACATATATATAATTATTGAAAAATGTGAATCATAGCTTCTCTAAAGAAAACCATAGCAAATAGTCCATTCAACTCCAATTCATGATGTGCGACTATAAATTACAAAACATTGTCTAAATAAGAGTTACTTTTTTATAATGGAATTGATTCTGGCCTTTACTAAACTACAACCAATTATTACAGAATTGCTGGATGAATAAGTAAAAAAAATACAAAATTATAACTTGGTTAGAAACAATAAAACCGCTAAGAAAACCACCCTTAAAAATATAGATCTCCATGCATGGTTGGCTAGAGTGTGTATAACCGAGCTGGTTCTTGTCTTCCTCAAAGCAGAAAAGCATAATCTTTTAAATGAATAGTCGATACTTGTATTATAATTAAATTTTGTACCTATCACCATTATCATATGGCGTCAAACCAAAGCGGAAGAAATAATGGAGATTAGCTGAACTGTATATCAGTCATTAGTCCAGATTTTACCACCACCAAACGAATCCGATCCGATGAAGACACCACAAGGATATCACAATAATAGGGAACCTCCAATACAACGCCTTCAAGAAGGCTGCGACATCTTGAATATCACTATCTCTAGGTTTTCAATGAGAGAGTCCATCCTATGGCACGGATGCAAAGGATATTGTGACATCACCTCCAGGAAGATGTCTGTTGTCCACAGAAGTAACTGATATCTATCTTCGGAGGCAACCGACAACAGACTCGGTGGGTAGCGACAACAGATGCCGGAGGCTGAGCAAGGGGACATGCCCGAGGAAGCTGCGGCCAAGGACGGATCCGGCAACCTACATCGCCAACCGTGATGCTAAGGCACCACCTCCCGTCACCGTGCAGCCAACCATTGACGAGGGAGCCTGCACCAGTGATCGTCACATGTCGCGCCTTGTTAGATCCATGTTGGCTCCTTACCTTGCCTCGTTGCCACGCTTTCCTGGCTTTCGCTTGCTCACGGGGCAACGTCCTCACCAGATCCACGCCACCTCCGCCTTCCTCCATGCTACAGCCTCTCTGTTGCACCATTGAGAGAGGAGCCGCATCGCCTTGCCAACCTGCCTTGTCATTGCTGACCAAGAATTGTCACGACGCCCCAATTTTATTTCTGGATTAAAAACCATTAAATAATGCAGTCTAGAATTTATATTAAAAGTCAAAGTACTTTAGGGTCGGGAATATCAGTGTAATTGTAATAGTACAAAGTTCTTTTAATCAATTAAGTAAATGAAAAAACCAATTAAAATCATCCCCTTCTCCTTGGGCCATTTCGGGCCCAAGTCTGCTCTTCGTTCCTCGATCTTCGCGGGTCCAGCGAGCTTCTCCTCTTCATGGATCAGCTCTCCTTCCTCTCCTTGGTCTGCCCATCTACTCTCTGCTGAGGCCTATTCGCCTCCTCTCTCTCGCGAAGTCCACTTCACCTCCCTTCTCCCTTCAGCCGCCAATAGGTAGGGCCCACCTATCAGGGTCATCCCCTGCCTCAGGCCAGTCAGCTGCAACCGCTTCCACCCCACATCGCCGCCTCTACTGTGTGCCTCCCAGATCCCGCATGTGTGTGGACCTGAGTCCCTACACGCTCCCGCGCCCACACCCCCTCTCTTCCCATGAAATCCGGTGGGATCAAACCCTACTTCTCCCCACCTTGTCGACCCACTCCTTCACCACCAGTTCTCGCCTCGTCCCGGCTCCCATTCACCCTCTCGAGGCTATAAAGCTCATTCCTTGAGCTTCCTCTCCCATTTTCCCTAGTATCCCGAGCCCACCATGCCCCGAAACCACCGCCTCACTGCACCACCCTAGCGCCATCGCTCGCCGCCGTGCTCTGACCTAGCGTTGCCACGGCTAGTGCCGTCGCCGCACCATGCCACCATTGCCATAAGCTTCGCTGCTTTGCGTAGCGCCTCGGCCACTGCTCCTCTTCCACTGCTATACTTGGGTGATAATTTGACTAGATTGTGTATATTCTTAGCCATGCTTAATTACCACTAGTTCATCTAATGGGATAATCACACTACTTACATTTAGTATCTTGACGAGCTGCAAGCTCGAGACATCTAGCCATGCTTTATTGGTCATAACTATCCACCTAAAATATATGGTTTAATGTTGGGTTGTGGGTGCATGATTTTGTTTGTCACGAACACACGCGCCCATGGCAATAAAGGACGTTCACGTGAAACCCTATAAGACTTACCATGCTTACCACAAGAAAGCATGGGCAATTGCTGAACTTCTAGTATAGCTTTTCCCTTTCCGATGTACCCAAGTAAGGGTGGGTGTGATGAAGTTTGGATGGACTGGGCAGCGGTCTATGCGGCTTCCGGATTCATTGTAGCACAAGAGGGGATTGCCCACCTTGGTTTTAAAGGTACGGGTGAAACCTGCAATGTGGTGCACTTGGTTAGGGGAGTTATGCGAAGGGACTTGTTGCAATCACTCGCATGGTGACATGCCTGCGGAAGCACGGTGACATGCCGGTGGATTGCGTCTTGTGGGTATAGTTGTACACTTCTAGCCAGAGTAAAACTATTCGAATGGACATGCTTGCGGTTATGGGCGATCGACCAGCTTCACCATGTTTAGTCTCACTCTATTATTTAACTTGACTTAATGAATTGGTATAGTTCAGGTGGTTGGCTGGACCTGTTTATCGTGGTGTAGCATTGTTAAGTGGACATTAATCTTGTCTTAATTAATTAACTGTTTTATTGTTTTCAACTACAAATGTTTACAACTGCATTCAAGCAAATAGCCACAAACCCTCCTTTGTCTCCTCTTGCATGCCTACATCATTAGCGTGGCTTGCTGAGTAAGTTGGTTGTACTCAGTCTTGCTATTATTCTTCCTTTTTAGAATTGGTAGAAAAACCAAGACTTATACCCCAGTCGAGTTTTACCTATGAAGTGGAGTTGAAGCCTGCTAGGATCGTATTTTTCTGTTGTTGCTTTCTTTTCAGCGTGGGAACTAAGTGTCTCTTCCGTAAGTATTTACGTTTTATTTATGTTCTGATCTGTATATTAATATTTCTGAACATAAATTTATACACAAAATAGTCTGAAAATTTGGTTAAATTTTGGATTCACAACATTATAATTCAATGCTATTCACCTATATGTAGCCATGCCATTATAATGTTACACGTATTCAATATTTGCCATTACTTGCTATTTCGATGCAATTCTAAATTTTTTACCAAATTTCTTAATCTCTTTAAATTAAAAATACAAAAAGATAACTACTAGTTTCTCGTCTTCATAACAAAATGAAATTTCCAGTTTTGAAAAACAAATTTTCTAATTGCTGCAAACGCATTTTCTGTTTTATAGTTCTAATAAAAAAGAAAATCCAATCATTTAGAAACCCATCATTAATTGATGCACATTGCTGACTTCCTGCTGCCTACTAAATTGGACCTAGTGCTACTCCACCAAACCAAAGCATAGAGCCAAACATGGCTTGGCTGGCTATGGACATATCACTATCTAGCACTACCATGCCATGTCCTCACAGAGTCAAACTCTACTCCTTTCATCATTGTCTCTTGTGTCACATGGATATACACTTTCGATGGAAATTCCAACATTGCGGTCGCATGATCTTGTCGTCCATCTTATCGTCCACTCCCTTTTCCAAATTTTGCATGTGATACACTGGATTGGAATCTGTTGCTCCATATAAATAAGTGACTCTGAGAGTAGCAAAGCCAAAGCAACTTCACACACACAGTGTACTGATCAACACTTCTGGAAGTGGAGCAAGGTTGAGTTACCTGTGAGACAGTAATGAAGAGGAACACCATCCTTGCTCTCTTCATCTGGGCCATGGCTATGGTGATCTTCGCCACGGCAATGCCGGCCAAGGCAAGGATGGAGGGGATCCATCCTCAAGGTTAGTTTGGTCATTTTACCCTTGTTCCATAGCATATTGTAGTATATTTTTAAGCTAAATCAAACTTTTCTTCATACCTGTGACACTAGTATAGCATATCCCATGGGTGTCGGTTGGGAATCTCGTATAGGTGCCAAATTTTTAAGAGGTTGTGCTAGTTTTTAATTTTAGATCCACAAGAGTGGACGAGAGAGCATGAAAAGTCTCACATGTATTGGTTTTTAGGCCGTCCCTGTTATGGGTTTTGGAGTAGTGGACTAGTGGCAATACATGCAAAATTTTCCTTTATACATACACAGATGAGAAGATTTCACTCTTCTTGTTTATTTGGAAGTAATCATTGATTTTTCTTGTGCAATGAAATGATCGCAGGATGCAGATGCTGCTATTTCAGACTTAGGCCGATGATCCAGTGTGCCAAGGCTTGCTGTGGCTCTGACGATGAGAACTGCTGCCTTGTGAACAACTAGTTCATCTCGGGAATAAATAAACCGAGTCGGTCTTGGACCTTTGCTTAATTTCCTTGTGTTTCAACGATCTCGCTGAAGAATGCAGTTATATATATGAAATAAAATCCAGCTCTTGCTGTTCATACCTAAATGTGTGTGTCCTCATTTCCAAATCTATTGTGTGCGGTCAGCACCTTGAATAATACTGCATCTTATTAACTGCGTACCACTGCCACCAGTAGGTTATTTGTAAAAGATGTAGACATAAATATCCATGCTACATATATTCTACAGTTCTATTCATGTTGGCCTAGTTGAAGCAACCTTGACATTTGGCACTTTTAAAAACACATAATACGAAAACTTCAACTAAATATATGTATATACTCCCTCCATAAAAAAAAAACGAATATAACGCATTACAGTACAATAAATCTATACAGATATATGTCCAGATTTATAATAGTAGGATATGTCACATCTAGTATTAGATTGGTATTTTTTAATGTAACAGAGGGAGTAGACCCCGTCCTCATCATTAGTCCTGAAGACCTTGACAGTACTACACAAGGAGCCCTTGGACTAGCAGTCAAAACCCGCGGGGGCTGACCGCGCGTCCGACATGAGGCTTGTGGGAAGAATATGTGAGAGAAAATAGGATACCCGATAATATCTGAGTTCGAACCCGAATTCGTAAAAGAATGTGGGCTAGAATACGGGAAGAGTTGTATCCGCCTATATGTCTCATGCTATAAAACATATGTGAAAATCTATTATAAATTCACCTATATACATAATAAAATGTTAGTTGATTATTATTTTTATAATAAGCTCTCATGTATTATTATATAATTTGTTCTTTGATGTATCTCTTTTAGCACTTCAATTGTCTTCTTACATTAAATATCTATGAATTAAATATACAAATAAATATCGTTCCGAATCTGATTCAAAGAAAATAATATGGGATAAGGTACGGATGAGTGATATGTTATCTGACATTATCAGTGCCTAGTTCTGAATTTAAAGAAAAGATATGATTTAGGATATGGGAATGGTGTGATCCAACCGTTTTCATCTTTACCTGCCACTGACCACTTTACTCATGTGACACCGGGGCTGAACTGGCTAGCCAATGCGTCAGGTGATCATCAATTCAGCGCCTTCTTCTTTCTCTAGTCACTCGAACGCTGGCCACATCGGTTGACCTAATATACCAAAGCGAAAGTCAAAATTTACAATTTTAAACTTAATTTTGATGTTGAATTTAAGATATTTTCAACATATATTCTTTTCCAGTATTGGCTTTTAAGTCGCTAAGAATAAATATATACAAATTGTAACTATATATTAACCAGCATCAATACAAAATTATCAATTTTTTTACATATAATATTATTTAAAATTTGCTAAATATCTATCTTATTGTCTTAGGACTTTGAAAGACCAAACATTAATTATCATCCCCTGTTTTCTAAAAGTCACACCAATCACTACCTCTTACTTTTTTATTACCCATTTATTTGCTTCCTCGATCTACCACATTTTCTATTCGTCCTCCTTATAACCTTTAAAAAATGGGACCTTTTATTGTTTCGTTGGGTTTTATTTTTATAATTTTTAGAAGTCCTGTCAAACATCATCATTGTACTCTTCTACGGCCCTTCCACTGCCTCCCTCTTTATTGTAATTGGGATTCTACAAATCGAATATAATTCGTTGGAGTTAATTTTTTACTTTGTAAAAGTCCCGCCAACCATTGGTGGCTCAAGCACTATACTCTAGGAGTATAACCCATCCACTGCCTCTCTTTTTTATTATCATTGTGATTTTAAAAATAAAAAATGATTGTCATTGTGGTTTTTTTTACTTTGATGAAGTCCCGCCAACCACCGTGATAGGTTACTTAACGGCCTTCCATCATCCCCCTCTTAATCATCATTGTGATTCTATTTAGGATTTTTTTTATAGTTTTCCTATGTCCCATCAACTGCCACTACCCTACTCCTGCTCGTTTTTACCTTACCGCCGGTAACCGTGCGGTTACCGCGGTTACCGGGCTTACCGCGGGGGTACGGTAATATAAATACCTCGGTAACCTCCTTAAATTTAGATAAATTTAAAAAATAATTTGAATTTTTGATAAATTTTGCACGGTTTTGTACGGTTTTTCACGGATACCGCGGTTACCGTGCAGTAACCGTGCTTACCGCCGGGGCGCGGTAACCCGGGCCCCGGCGGTTTGGGAAACCCTGTTACGAGCATGTTGTTTCAACTCTTTATTGCAATTTATCATCGTTGTATTCTAGATGGACTATTTTTTATTTTTTTTCATATTTTTATTCCAATATTTTGTTATTTATGAATTGTGTTCCTACTTGAACTCTTATAATTATTTTCTATTTTTGGAATTTATTTATTTTTTTATTCCAACTTTTCATTAACCTCCTGATGTGTTCTAGATGGTCTCTTCTTTTAATAGTCTTTATTTTTATTCCAGATTTAGTTATTTATAAACTGTATTCCTAGTTGAACTCTTATTTATATTTTTCTAATTTCGTAATTAATTTTAGTTTTTATTTCTAATTTTCGTTAATCTCGTATTGTGTTCTATATTGAGTAAACCTTTCAATATTTCTAATTTTTTATTTCCATTTTTTGTTGTTTGTAAATTGTAATCTTACTTGAATTCTTACTATTGTTATTTGATAATTTATTCTATATTTCGAATTTTAATTAATCTCTAATTGTGTTCTACATGGACTCTTCTTTCAATATCTTTTATTCCGAATTTCAATAATTTCTAAATGCATTTCTACTCAAGCTCCTCTCTTCTTTTTCTCTGATTAATGTGAGATTTTGTAGCCTCCATAGGGAACTAAATATAATACACACGATGGATTTAAATATGTTATCTTTTACCCACTCTCGAAGCTTTTTTTATTTTTAGTCTTGCGTTGGAGTACTTTCATCGTTGAAAATAGATGTTTTTTCACAGGTGGCCAGCGTACTGGGGCCACCTATGATAAATCTTTTACATAGGCGACCCGTGCCTCCCACCATAGATCAAACTTATTGCAAGCGGGCATTCTCATGGATCGCTTATGATCCTGTACTTGGGTGATCGGGGTTTTCTGTGAAAATTATTCTTTTATGCACTATGACTAAAAAACCATATACCGTTCTAATGGAATATATAGCTAGGTCAACATGATTTTCAGATTTGATACCTCCAGTAACATATTTCCAGACCGTCAGTATGATACTTGTGGTATCAGATCTGGTACGTTCAGTATCAGACATGATGCCCCGTAGGTATCAGATCTGATACCTAAGTATCATGCTAACATCATTGTGATACCTACGGTATCAGACATGATACCCTGCATGTCAATGTCATCATGATATCAGCTTTTTGGTTGGAATGGTATACCGTTGTATAGTATTTCTGTTAAAAATTAACATATGTGGAGCATAAAATTCATTCTCATCCAACCTGTGGATCTTCTCCTTCTCTGACATGATTGTTGATTCCGGACGTCTGCCTCATCTTCTTCAGCCTTTTGGCCTTGAGCATGTCGGCCACACGTTGACAGGCTAGATCTATCAGGCCCTTGACGCCCATGACATTGGCTGCGCTGATCAAGCGCCGCAGCGTGTCGTTGTCGACCTTGATGAACACCCTGTCGAACTTCTTGAGCTCGTCCTCGTGCATTGCTTTCATGTCGCCGGTGCCAGAGCTCAAGGTGGCGTGCTTCATGCAGTACCGCTTGGCGATGACGTTGTCGGCGACGTTAGGGATGGGAATCCCGTTGTCACCAGCGTGGTGGTCACTGTTGTTCGTATTGTTCACCACTGTCTATGACAGTCTTGCCACCGCCTCCTCCACTTCAAAGTGTTCTTCGTCGGAGCTGATCAACTCAACCATCTTGCCACCATCCGTCGCCATGCATCGCCATTGATTTGGCTCTCAAGTTTTCTTCAAATCTAACCCAACAGGCTGATGGATATAGATGGCGATGCTTTGACTCTTGGAAGTGTTATATATATTGTTTGGCGATATCGATCGATAACACACTGATGAATTTTGTGTTATCTTTTGCGATTTCTACTAGTATACTAGGAAAAAATGCTTGTGCGTTGCAATTGGAGGTAAAGATCAATGGAGAATGAGTTTATTCTTTCACAGATATCTGATATATGTCAATACTTATTATCCAGTAGAAGCCGGTTAATTTAAAACCGTACCTATGGACCTTTTCCCCATCTTCACGGGATGAAAAAAATATAGAACTGGAATCTTTCGTAACTTTAGGTCCTGGTTAAAAACCAGCAATGTAGATATCGGTTTTCTAAAAAGACCGATACCACAATTAATTTAGTTGTAGGTATCATAGGTGCTGGTTCCAGTTAACAAACCGACACGATCTTATCTAATTGAGCTGAGCGAACCTTTTTTTTTCTCCGCCCATACGTCTCCTCTTCTTTTTTCCCTCCCCTCCTTTACTCCACCCACACACCTCTTTCTTTTTTCCTCCTCTTTTTCTACGCCTCCTCTCTCTTCTCCTCAAACCTAAAAGGTGGCAGCGGCTGCTGCTCCCCCTTCTTGGCATGGCGGCGGCTGCTCCTCCCCTCCCCGGCACGGTGGTAGCGGCTGCGTCTCCCCTCCCCGACTGCCCCCTCCGCTTTCCGACATGGAGCAGATGGCGGCTGCTGCTCCCTCTCACCACCTGCCAACATCAAAATTTGGTAAGCCCTGAAGTCATCATCGGCCTAGAGTCAGTATCGGCTTTAGAGTCCTAGATTCGCCCAATAGGAATTATCAAGTCGCCAATAGTCAGATCTTTGTAGATTCGGCTAAGGAAATTGATCAATTAAAGGAAGTTTATCTAGAGGAGACCGAGTTCAAGGAGGATGCGGCATAACAGTTTATCTATTAATTAGGAAGAATATGTTAGTTTCCTTTTATCTTTAGGAAAGTGTGTTTAGTGTTCGATAAGGACTTTATGTTTTCCTTTTATCTTTAGGAAAGTTTTTTTTTCCAAGAAGGACTAGTATCTACCCATGGGAATAAATATGTACACCCGGGGTCATTGTAAACTATCTCTCGATCAATAAAACTACTCTCGGCGCATCGCTACCCTCTTTTCCGAGGTTTTTTATTTATCATCCAGCGGAACTTGGCACCCGATGCGGGCTGCATCAGCTTTTCGATCTCC